GTTTTACTTTTTCCACATCTGCAAAATGTTTCCCTTTGAGGACTTTTTTCATCCAGGAAAACAAAAAAAATAATTTTGGTTTTTTTTTTGAGTCCCCCCCTTGTACATTTTTAACAAAGGAAGAAGTTAGAGAGAGTGATTGTGCCTCTGTGAAGTGCTACTAAGTTTATACTACTTGTAGTAGTACCTTTGTTGTTTGTTTATATCTTATCTCTCAGGCTAAAGGAAGTTCCATGAAGTCAAAGATTATTATACATCTTAGATTCTCCCACAGTTATACTTAGTGTGTCTTGGACATGTTTAGAGTATGGTGGATATTTTTTGGAAGAAATTAATGAGAGAAATTGGGAATGTTCTGTGGCACAGAATATTATGAATTGCGTCTAGGTACATTGAGTTTGAGGGGAAGCAAGTAGAAAGCACCTGCAGCCTGTGACAGTAAAGCTTGGTTAGAGGACAGGACTGGGAGTGTTGTTTCGAGATTGCACCATCCTCTGTGCTTTATCTTCATAGCAACACAATATGTTATTATTAAATTTTTTTTGAGTTGGAGTCTCCCTGCATCGCCCAGGCTGGAGTGCAGTGGCATGCTCACGGCCACCCCAGCATCTACCTGTTGGGCTCTGGTGATCCGTCTGCCTCAACCTTCCAAGTAGCTGGAACTACAGATGCACGCTACCACATCTGGCTAATTTTTTTGGTTTTTATTGTAGAGATGAGGTCTTGCCAAGTTGCTCAGGCTGTTCTCGAACTGTGGTCTCAGGCAATCCACTCACCTTGGCCTCCCAAAGTGCTGGGATTACAGGCTTGAGCTTCTGCTCCCGGCCAACACCATATATTATCTCTGTGCACTTATTTCCGTTTTGGAAGATTAGGAAACTGAGATCTGACAGGAGATCTGTCTCCAAAGGATGAGAAATAATGCCTCTCATTTCTAAGAATAGTGTTCTTTTTAAAAGAGCAAGTTACTATTTATATTTTAAGAAAGAGCACACGATGTCTACTAATGGAAGATAAATGAGAAGCAAACTAAGAAATACATTTTGTCTCTGGATTAGTGAGTAAAGATCAAAAGAATTCTCTTCAACCCTTTTTCAACTTTAAGTTTAACAAATTGAGTTGCTCAGAGTCTTTTTTGGTTAAGTAGCCAATAGGAGACTTTCATGTTAGGAGTAAACATAAGCTATTCAGATCGGATAGGCAGGTCTTTCTTTTCATCTGAAGAGGATGCCTAGGTGTGGAATAGACTAACAAATTGTTATTGCAGACATCTTTGTCCTCTGTTTAGTTTAATTGATCATCATGTTGTAGGACTCTAATGGTGCTCCAGGTCCAGTTAAATAAGCAGAGGGTGGATGGGGGCTGCAAACTGAAGCTGTTTGGGACACTTATCCTTTTCATATTAACTCGAAGTAAAATACCCAAACCAAACAAATCTCTACAGGGACCTTATAATGTTCTTAGAGACACACCAGTGTTCCAAAAATTGTTCCATTTTATTAGATTTAAGCATTTTCTAGAAATGAAGTGGGGGGGATTGTTGAATATCATAATCTCTTTAAGACTGACATGGTTCTCTTTCTTTTGCAGGCCTGATTGTTGACAATGACATTAATAAGAGGCTGGCATTTATTTCTGTCCTAACCAGCTATTGTATAACTGAGAATAGAAACTATGCGTATTTGTTGGCCAGCAAAACCAAGGAACACGAGCTATGGCAGTTGAAAAAGTCTGTCTGATTCCACGATATTTCCCCTGGGTTTCATCATCCGGAACCTCCTCCCTGTCATCTCAGCAGCAGTGTGGTACCTTTGACTGTTTAATAAAGATTGAGGACGTGCTCTTTGTTCAACAGCCAGAACTTAAAATCTCCTGGAATAGGGTCAGAGACCACTTCAGTCGTAGCTGAGGAAGATGAAATTTCCATTTTATTGGGTGCCTTGTACAGGGAGCACACAACTTTTCTGGGAGCGTGTGATTGAGAACGAGATTGAGTTTTGTCGAACAGAAATTCCTGGTTATGGCGAGTGACCCGACGTGAGCAGAGGGGGCCGGGCTGCAGAGGAACTCATGACAGGCTATACCATGTTGCGGAATGGAGGAGTAGGGAACGGAGGTCAGACCTGCATGTTGCGATGGTCCAACCGCATCCGCCTCACGTGGCTCAGTTTCACACTCTTCATCATCCTGGTCTTCTTCCCCCTTATTGCACACTATTACCTCACCACGTTGGATGAGGCTGACGAGGCAGGCAAGCGGATTTTTGGTCCCCGGGCTGGCAGTGAGCTCTGTGAGGTAAAACACGTGCTGGATCTCTGCCGCATTCGTGAGTCGGTGAGTGAAGAGCTCTTGCAGCTGGAAGCCAAGCGGCAAGAGCTGAACAGCGAGATTGCCAAGCTGAATCTGAAGATCGAGGCCTGTAAGAAGAGCATTGAGAATGCCAAGCAGGACCTGCTTCAGCTCAAGAATGTCATCAGCCAGACGGAGCATTCCTACAAGGAGCTCATGGCCCAAAACCAGCCCAAGCTGTCTCTGCCCATCCGACTGCTCCCAGAGAAGGATGACGCTGGCCTCCCTCCCCCAAAGGTCTTACGGGGTTGCCGGCTCCACAGTTGTTTTGATTATTCTCGTTGCCCTCTCACCTCTGGTTTTCCAGTCTATGTTTATGACAGTGACCAGCTTGCCTTTGGCAGCTACCTGGATCCCTTGGTCAAGCAGGCTTTTCAGGCTACAGCTCGAGCCAATGTTTACGTTACAGAAAATGCAGACATCGCCTGCCTTTATGTGATATTAGTGGGAGAAATGCAGGAGCCAGTAGGGCTGCGGCCTGCCGACCTTGAGCAGCAACTGTATTCTCTACCACATTGGCGGACAGACGGACACAACCATGTCATCATCAACCTGTCACGGAAGTCCCATACACAGAACTTACTATATAATGTCAGCACAGGCCGTGCCATGGTGGCCCAGTCTACTTTCTATGCTGTCCAGTACAGGCCTGGCTTTGACTTGGTAGTGTCGCCACTAGTCCACGCTATGTCAGAACCCAACTTCATGGAAATTCCACCACAGGTGCCAGTGAAGCGGAAGTATCTCTTCACCTTCCAGGGCGAAAAGATCGAATCCCTGAGATCGAGCCTTCAGGAGGCCCGCTCCTTTGAAGAGGAAATGGAGGGTGACCCTCCAGCCGATTATGATGACCGGATCATCGCCACCCTAAAGGCAGTCCAGGACAGCAAGCTGGATCAGGTTCTGGTGGAGTTTATCTGCAAAAACCCGCTGAAGCCCAGTCTGCCTACGGAGTGGGCACTGTGTGGGGAGCGGGAGGACCGCCTAGCGTTGCTGAGGCTCTCCACCTTTGCCCTCATCATCACCCCGGGGGACCCTCACTTGGTTGTTTCATCGGGGTGTGCAACGCGGCTCTTTGAAGCCCTGGAAGTCGGTGCTGTCCCGGTCGTGCTGGGGGAGCAGGTCCAGCTTCCGTACCAGGACATGCTGCAGTGGAATGAGGCGGCCCTGGTGGTGCCCAAGCCACGTGTTACTGAGGTTCACTTCCTGTTAAGGAGTCTCTCTGACAGTGACCTACTGGCCATGAGGAGGCAAGGCCGCTTTCTCTGGGAGGCTTACTTCTCCACCACTGACAGTATTTTTAATACCGTGCTGGCTATGATCAGGACTCGAATACAGATCCCAGCAGCTCCCATCCGGGAAGAGGCAGCCGCTGAGATCCCCCATCGTTCAGGCAAGGCTGCCGGAACTGACCCCAACATGGCCGACAATGGAGACCTGGACCTGGGGCCAGTGGAAACGGAGCCACCTTATGCCTCACCCAAGTACCTCCGCAACTTTACCTTGACTGTCACGGACTTTTACCGCAGCTGGAACTCTGCTCCTGGCCCTTTCCATCTTTTCCCCCACACACCCTTTGACCCTGTGTTGCCCTCAGAGGCCAAATTCTTGGGCTCAGGGACTGGATTTCGGCCTATTGGAGGTGGAGCTGGGGGTTCTGGCAAGGAGTTTCAGGCAGCCCTTGGAGGCAATGTTCCCCGAGAGCAGTTCACAGTAGTGATGTTGACTTATGAGCGGGAGGAGGTGCTTATGAACTCACTAGAGAGACTGAATGGCCTCCCGTACCTGAACAAGGTGGTAGTGGTGTGGAATTCCCCCAAGCTGCCATCAGAGGACCTTCTGTGGCCTGACATTGGCGTCCCCATCATGGTAACAGAAAAATGAACTGTTTCTTTTACTGCATGAAATAGTATTTCACTCTTAGTTCCTTTTCTGTCTTTCTTTACTTTAGCTATCTTAGCTTTTTTTTTTGCATTTTTATTTTAGGTTTGGGGGAACACATGCATGTTTGTAACATGGACATATTGTGTAGTGGTGGGAATTGGGTCTCAGGTGGTCCGTTCCTCAGATAGTGAACATTGTCCCCAGTAGGTAGTTTCTGCACCTTAGCCTCCTGAGCTTAGCCTGGACCTTAGCCTCCTGAGACTGACTTTTAATAGAGAGGACTATACATATACTTTTTTTTTTTAACCTGTACAGATTAAAAGAATCTGTACAGGTTAAAAAAAAAAAGTATATGTATAGTCCTCTCTATTAAAGTGTGTCTGTTCTGCCTATGTTGTGAATTCCAGTTCGTTTCTGCTTGCTGCTTTTTCAGGCCTTGCCATTTCCATCGCTGCTGCTCACTTCCTAAATCTCCTGAGACCCTCTGAAACTGAAATTGATCCTGGACCCCTCAGTTATTCCACAGACATCATCCATGTTATAACACAGATGTTGATGACAGTGATGAGAAAGTCAACATTTAGGAGGCACTTAGGATCTAGGCACTGTAATTAGCATTATATGACTTATATCCTTATCACTGTTTCTTCATTTTTTATGTATTCAGCTGAGGCTGGAAAAGGTTAATTAATTTGCCCAAAGTCATGGCAAGTAGTGGATGAGCCGAGCTTTAGTATGTCTGTTTCCAGAAACTAGTTTTAATCACTTCCCAAAGGTTTTAGGAAGACCTGTGTCATTTCCCAGGTATTATAGACGTCTTCCTGAAGACTGGAGTTGGGGCTTGATATTTGGGAGTTGAAGAACTAACTCCGACAACCTTTTCAAGGGTATCTTTTTTTTTTTTTTTTTTGAGTTGGAGTCTCACAACGTTGCCCAGGCTGGAAGGCCGTGGCACACTCACAGCCACTCAAGCGTCTACCTGCTGGGCTCCAGCAATCCTTATGCCTCAGTCTTCCAAGTAGCCGGAACTATAACCTGCCTAGTTGTTTTTTTTTTGAGTTGGAGTCTCACTCAGTCGCCCAGACTGGAGTGCAGTGGCACGCTCCTGGCCACCGCAGCCTCGACATGCTGGGCTCCGGCGATCCTTCCACCTCAGCCTTCCAAGTAGCTGGAACTACAGGCGGGCGCTACCAGGCCTGGCTAATTTTTTTTTATTTATTGTAGAGATGAGGTCTCACCAAGTTGTCCAGGCGGGTCTCAGACCCGCAGGCTCAGGCAATTCACTCACCTTGGCCTCCCAAAGCATGGGATTACAGGCTGAGCCACCGAGCCCAGCCTAATTTTTGATTTATTGTAGAGATGAAGTCTCGCTAAGTTGCCCTGACTGGTCTTGAACCCACAGGCTCAGGCAATCCACTTATCTCCGCCTCCCAAAGTGCTGGGATTACAGGCTGTGCCACTGAGCCTGGCCTCAAGGGTATCTTGTAGGTTGTTTTTAATTCTTTACTCCATCTCTCACGGTTAAGTCTTGTATTTTATAAGAAAGATAATAGCTAAATATACAGGGTAGGGCTTTAGTTTTGAGGACTGTGTATCCACTTGCTGAATTAAATTTGGCAATCTAGGAGAGAGGTGGCCACTGTAGCCTCGACCTGCTGGGCTCAGGCGATCCTTCTGCCTCAGCCTTCCAAGCTGGAGGGGGTCTCTCCTCTCACCCCAGCCTCCCAAAGTGCTGGGATTACAGGCTTGAGCCACCGCTCCCGGCCCCTTAGATTAAATCTTAAGCAAAGTGTCAGCTGCTCACCTTGCAGCATACATAGGTACTTTCTAGAAAAAGACAATAAGGAAAGGCAAAAGGTCTGATGGGTCATACATTGCTGGAAGTTCAGTTTTTGTGGTATTTTTTTTGTTTTTTGAGTCGGGGTCTCATTCTGTCTCCCAGACTGGAGTACAGTGGCATGATCACAGCTCACCACAGCCCTGACCTCCTGGGCTCAGGTGATCCGCCTCAGCCCCCTGAATAGCTAGGACTACAGGTACGTGCCACCACGCCCGGCTAATATTTAACATTTTTTTTGTAGAGACAGGGTCTTGCTATGTTGCCCAGGCTGGTCTCAAATTCCTGGGCTCAAGCAATCCTCCTTCCTTGGCCTTCTAGAATGCTGAAATTATAAGTGTGAGCCACTGTACTTGGCCAGGAAGGTTAGCTTTGAAAAAAATTTACTTCATTTGGGAACCAGTTCATTTGTATTATTTTTCTAAGCAGCAGCATGGTATAATAACAAAAGCATGAGATTTGAAGTGATAGACCTGGGGTTAAGTAGTCATTTTGTCATCTTTAATAAGTTAATTAGCTTTTTTACCTCAGGGCTAAAGAGAAATCTAAGGTAAAAAGGATTTTAGGAAGGTGCTAAATGATTATTTGATTTCTTCTTACCCCTTCATGTCAAAGGAAAGAAAGTCAGTGTGTCTGTTCTGCCTATATTGTGGATGGCTTTAACCAGCTTCACTGATAAAAGCTTCCTGTGTCCTCTACATAATTTCTCTCTGTGCCACAGTTGTCTCTGCTTCCTCTTGTACTACATCTGTAACAATCTTTAAGTTTTCTTTCTTACTACTGCTGAGAATCTTTTCCTATATTTTATTATTTAACTGAATTTATAATCTAAGGTTATTCAAACACTAGGATTATTAAAACTTAATTCAGAGGTTATCTTGTATGTTAAGAAACATTTTATAAACGGAGAGATTTCTATAAAGACTTTTTTCTTTCTGAGCTATAACTTTCTGAATGTCATCGAGATAGAAAAAAAGCATTTGTGAATGGTAGATGCTGCTCAAATAGAAGAATAATAAAGCAGCCTTTGTTTTCCATTTTTCCTGAGTTTTCTTTGATTTTGATAGGAAAGTAGAGAAACTGGTGCCACTCTGGTTAACAATGACTGAAATTCATTAGAGAACTTACCAGAACTAATCTTCCTTTTAACTCTGGTGGGAAATAAGTGGTCTTCTTTGATTACCAGGCAGCCCATTGCAGTAATGCAATACCTAATTGAAAAATTCCAGAAACTTTCCAAATAGGCCATTCTAAATAGCTTTCTCATATTAGGAATACAAGGTTTTTCTAGTACTTTTGAAAAAGAGGAAGCAACTTCAGGCAGGAGAATTTCACTCCATTCCCTAAGTGTTTTGGCTATGCTTTTTATTCCAGAGAGGTGTTTTGGGCAGTAGTTGAAATTGCTGACCTCTTGGGTGTACCCAAGTATTAGGGCTAGAGACAGACTGGCAGCTTTCTCTCCTATAGGAGAATGGCACTATTATGATACATCTCAGAGTGGTTTTTCCACTTAGATGCAGACATGACCAGTTCATTACGTTAAGGTTAATCGATTTTTATAAATTCAGCACCAGTGTGGTTCCCAGGCAATCTCTCAGATTCCATCCTTCAGGCAAAGTGATTTGAAATCAGCACGTTGGCTAAATGGATCAACCCAGGAACCCCCATGCCATTTCAGAAAATGCCAGGCAATTTGTGCTTTCTCTTTTGCTTAGCTACCAACTGTGCACCAGACAGAAATGCTACTTATCTGTGGGCTCTGAAATTCATTGAGCCCTCACTATTTAAGTGGAGGACTGTCTTACCGGTACCTGATAGGATTTACATATTAAAAATTCTCATTCTTTTCTGTACATAAAATAAAGAGATACAGCTTAGGGTGAAGGTGATGTTTATCATCACCATCTTGGGATATTCTGTTCCAAATGCTCTATGTAAAGAGCGTTCAGCCCACATGGGGTGGTGGGTGGGCAAGGAGACAGGACTTGCAGAGAGATGGGAGGAGTGCCACCACTTGATGCGGGTCACCCGTCTGAATGGCGTGGGACTTTGAAGACGTGGTGCCTCCCTTTGAACTGGCTCTCTTCAGTCCAGTTTGGAGATGGTGAGTGCCGGTTCTTTCACTGGCTCTTGCATGTTTTGCAACCACTTAAGTCAGGTTCCTTGGCTTCTGGAGCATAACCCCAAAGACATCTAATGGAAGTCAGAGAGTATTATTATGCCAAGAGGTTTGAGGCGAATGAAATCTTTTGAAAACACCACTGGGCTGGGGATTATCACTTTTATGGCCCCTTAAAGATGTTCCGCTATTTCCAGTCCTTCATTGTTTCTGGTGATGTGTCAGTGTTTTTCACATTTTTGTTTCCCTATATGTAATGTGTGGTTTTTCTCTTGCTGCTTTCAATATTTGTCCTTTTATTTGGATTTTAGCAGTTTGACTGTGATATGCTGCAGCATGGTTTTATTTTTATTCTGGAAAGTGTTAATTTTTTTTTTAGTAGGCACTTAATTTTGTTGACTTTAAATGGAAAATTCTGTCTCTTGAATGGCAAGTTGCATGCTAGGTGAGTCCTTTTATATTTAGCGGCTTTGCTTACACCCTGCACCAAGTCTGCATGGCTTAGGCCAGGGCTGAGGGCTGGGCCAGAGACTGGGCAGTTCATCCCCAGAATTCGGAGCTCCCCCTCTGACTTTCTCCTTCCAGGACTTTCCTCTCTTTCTCAGGGCTGTGGTTGCTTCAAACCCTTTCCTCTTGTTCTTCAGGCCAAAAAGACTGTGGGTTTGTGTGAGAGTTTTTGCGGTCCTTTGTGGTGCCAGTTCTGGCCTACTTTTCGGGGTAAAAGCAGCAGTAACTCTCCCCAAATTGATAATTCCCTCCCTCTAAATTTCAACACCCCTTCGTGACTTGCCTTCTTTTGTACATTCTAGTGCCTTCAGGAATTGCTTTTTTGGTATTTTGTCCAGAGTTTATTGTTGTCATTCTGCAGGAGGATTGAGCCTGGTAGGAGCTTACTCAGCCCTTCTGGAAGCAGAAACACCAAGTAATCCCTATATTTGATACACACAATTCCACCAAAAGTTTTGGTTCCAATTATTACTTTATTCTGACCAGTTCACACAGCTTCCTTACTCTGCTTTATATTCTGGA